TACTTTTTAAAAATATATAAAATATTAATTAAAATTTAAAAAATTAAACACAAATGAATTAAAATTAATTAAGAAATATGATTGTCATGTTTGAAAAAGTTTACACAAAAATAAAAAGAGAAACTCCAGCGTAACATTGGCAAGTGCTAACGGAAACTAAACGATAGCATGAGGCATGCGATGGGTTGCAGTTTTTTTTTTTTTTTTTTTTTTTGGTGGTGTTTTATGATGGGGTAAGTAGCTTATTCGGTAGGAGAAAGGAATGGGAAAGGAAGTTACATAAATATAAACTCTCTCCAACAAATAGAAAAATTTTTTACATTTAAAAATCTAGCGGAAGGGTTGGAACTTGGAAGGCCTTCCTTATTAGTAACGTGTAGTTTAAGGACATATTTAGCTATATTCTATATTAAGGGGCTAAAGGTCCCAAAGACAAGAAGTTGGAGGGGAACTGAGGCATTAAACCTAATTCAGTTAGGTCCTCCTTTCAAGTTTGGGTCTTCAATTTTTTTTTTGGCCAACAGTTTAGGCATTCTTTTTTTTTTTTCTTTTTTCCAATAGTTTAGGTGTTCGTTAAAAAGATTAAATTTGAGGACGATTTGCCCCATCTCTCTTTTAATTGCAACAAATTTTTTTTTTATGAACTTAATTACAATAATTAGACATAGAAAAAGGGACAAGGCCAAAAAAATACAACTAATCTGAAGAACGTGGCACAGTTGTGTCTTAAACAAATGGAAATTATTCAAACCGTAAATGGTTTGGAATAATAATTTCAAATTTTGGCATACTAAAACTAAATTTTTCATTTTTTTCTAAAAATTTGACACTGTAATATTTCAAACAGTTATTAACCTGACTATTACTAAAAATTTTATTTCTCACTTGATTCTGTGGGAGAAAAGGTGCAAATGTATTTCAGACAAAAAACAAAAAAAGGGTCTAAATAACATTAGCAGTCACGTCTGCCTTATGTACAAAATGCACTAATCAAGGAAATTGCAAATAAACAAGAAAGGCAAAACCCTACTTAAGCCCCTCAACGTTTTTGATAGTAAGTGAAAAGCTGCAAAATTAAAAAGATAACAAGTAAGCCCTTCAATCCCATGTTTGCGTTTTTTTTTTTTTTTTGGCCCTTGCACGCCTTTGCATTTTTTTTCCCTTTACTTCATTTTATTTTTAGTAATAATATATTTTTTATTTAATTAATTAGTA